TAATGCCTGTCAAACACACACACACACACACACACACACACACACACACAGTAAAATATAAAGATCTGCTCCAGCAAAAAATGCTTCCGTTTCTATCTGGGAGAGACAGAGTGAGGCGGGGGAGAGCGGGGGAGATCGGGGGAGATTGGGGGACGCAGATAGAGACAGAAGGACACGGGGAGCGATTGAACATCTTTAAAGAACCGTGTGGTGAAGGAAGGTTTTCTGAAAAGCTTGAACAACCTTGAGACAATGAGGAATTACTTCAATGTGATAGGAGGAGATAAGAGTGGAGACTAAAACTAATACGATTAGATATCAGCTTTTTATCTTTGTCGATATTTTAATGAGTAGCTTAATGAAATCATTACAAATGTCTCCTCTAATTTAAAAGACAGAGAGGACAAGTCCTGCTTTATGCAGACGACGTCACTTTTAGGGACATGAACTGCCAAAATAAGATGATTCGAGTTCAAATGAATATCAAGGTCAAAGAAAAATTATTCTTTCATGTCGCTGGGAATCAACTTTGAAAGAAATTCCCTTATTATTTGCACACATCTATTCTTTGTAGTTTTCACTTTTTGTAACGTTAAAAAGATGACCACTGATGATCGTAGCGTAACAGCACGTGGATAAATACACACTGCATTTTTTTGAGACTCACCATTATTTTTGCCACTTTCCTTTGCACTCGATATTATTTGACCGGCGACATTCCAACGGAGAGCACGGGAGTCACGAGGGAGGAACGAAGAAAAAGACGAGTTGGCTTGACCGCTAGTGGCAGCCTAAAAATAAAAACCCCAAGGACACCGTACACTCCAAACGTCTCCCAATCCCGCCTACCCATCTGTGTGTTTTCCCCCCTCGTAACACCCGGACTCCATAGAAGCCGCTCAAGGTGCCCCCCCCCCCCCCCCCACGTCCCCCACGTCTCCCCGTCCCCTCCCTCAGCGGACCATCCCGCTGTAATTCAGCGCCCCGCCAGTAATAATAATCCCAATACCTGGTGACTACGTGTTTTTCTAACCTCATCGGCTTGTTTCGGGGGGGTGAGAAAGATAATAAAGACCTGGAATCTCTCGTTTCCTGCGTTGTGGGCCGGCTGGCATGCTGTGTTATGCTACGTACTTCTCAATGGTCCTTGTGGGCATACCAGGCCTTATAAGTCACCCTGGGGTGGGGCCGGGGGTTTGCTTACAGTCATGGTTTGCAGTGGCAGTGATGGATTCTGGGCCAAGCTGTTCTTTTCCTGAAGAATTCACTTTTTTTTCCATCAGCGGCAGTGTGACCGAAAAGGCATAATGGAAACCGTCTTATCTGCAGCGGCGCTTTGGTTTGGGCACAAAAGGGAAGCGCGGCGGCCTCGGCCCCCAAAGATGACCTTGTGATAAAGCTCGGATGCTTGTTCGGCTGTCCAATGCATACGCTTCCTGCTAACTGCGCTCCGTTTCCAAAAGGGCTCGTGGCACATTGAGCTCTGATGAAAAGAAAATCTAATCATCTCAATCTCCGGTCCCCCTCCTCCCCCCTCCTCCCTCCTCCCCTTCCCCCCTTTCTGCGTCCATCCGGCAATACGCTCCTTCCCTCCTCTCAAGTGCTCTGCATCATGATTCATTTTACCTCTGCTGAAACATTTTCCATGGCGTTTCCATGGCGTTTCCGCCCCTTCAACCCCCCTCAACCCCCCTGCCCGCTCTTTCCTTGTTGTCTCTCACTTTGCATCATGCTGGTCAGACTAGGCGAGCGGCTCTGGCTCTAAAAGGAAACGATGGAGACGGCAAGCGGGACGCACCAACGCCACTCAACGGGTTCCACTTTTTGGCTGCTTGCTGCAGGTGAACACTGGGGAGGCGGCGGGTGTGGGGGGGGAAACACGTGAAGCCCCAATCGGGCTGAACTTCCGACAGGTTTGAGATGAACTGTGCTCTCATCCAACGCAGCAAACACTGCCGGACCGACGCTCAGAGGTGTGAGATCAGAGTGTCGGTCATCCTTGCGTACGTCATGAACCCGTCTGCGTGTCAAGTGCACTTTCCCATTTCAACCCTCCCAAGATAAAGATATCCAATGAAGTTCTTTTGTCGAGCGGAGAGGTGTTCCGCACCAATAACGACGCAAAATAATGGAATAAAACACTTTCCTCAATCCGAAAGTGCTCCTCCGATTCACTGAAATGTTTGTTCATTTAAATACTGCTTTAAAAAAAATAAAATCTGCTTCGCCTTCAACTGCAAGCTCCATTGTTGAGGCGGCACCCCGAAAAGCTGACACACACTCTGGCTCGTACTAGAGAGAGGGAGCTCGTCTTCATAGGAAATAGGATTTGTCAAACACGCGTCACTCCGCTCCCGACTCTCCTTGTCGGACACGTTGATTTTTCTCGACATCGCACCGCTCCCTGTTCCCTGCGATTAAAGCCTTGGACACGTGGAAAGCAGCCGCCGCGTACTGGGTGGCCAAAAAAATGCCATCAGCTAATCCCAGAGCGGACCGCATTCTGCCGAGGGTGCTAAAAATCCCATTGACTGTAACTTTCCTAATCCTCGATCCCAGAAGGCCGCAGTTGCAGTGGGAGTGAAGACACGTGCATGTGTGCATGTGTGTGCATGTGTGTGTGTGTGTGTGAGAAGAAAGTGGACGTGCAGGCACACGAGCGCTGTTTCAGGGTGTTTATCGACATGCAGACAAGAGTTTAATCCTCCAGTGTGCATCGGCGACGTCGTCATCCAAAACCGACGGTGCAACGCCGCCAACGGTCGCCGGGACGACTGATCCCTCTCGACCATGGCGTGCGCTGAGGGGGGGGGGGTTAGGCGTGACGTTTACCAGACAGGAGCTCCTCTCCAGCACGTGTGTGTATGTAATGTTTGAAAAAGAAGAATACAGGAGGGAGAGCAGACTGAGAGAAAAGCCAAACACACACAAGACATCCAGCGCCGATCGGAGCTGAAATGACATCATTCACAGCTGTTCCCTCGTCCACTGGTCCAGGAGGAGGGAGGAGATGGATTACAAATCGTTGAAGCTAGTATCTTTGGAAATACGTGGGATTATCTTCCTCTGCCAGAAGAGATTTTCAGACAATATCTTTATTAAAACGTCTACATGTTTGCTTTTATTAAAATAATGTATTTATAAAAGTGGAGGATCTAAATTGTATTTCATGTGCTACCACAAAATGAAACAACACACCAATGCTTTCCAATCCTATAGCAGCGGGATCCTGGATCAGCTGAGCTCAGCTTTTATATCAACCCTTTGGGTGATAATGCATTATTTCATTGTACTTTATTATTGTGTATACAAAAACAAAATTGCACAGCAGTAAACGTAAGGAAACCAGTTTTGATAGGCGGGCGTAATCCTTCTATTCATGAAAGTTTTGTTTGATGTCTTTTTAATCTAAAAGTAATTCCACTATGAATTGAACTTGATGTTGATTCACTGTGTTTTTTTCGTGTAAAGCATTTCCTCAATATATTGTGAGATTTAAATTATGATCATGTACTGATATCGATGCCAGTGGGTTTTGAGATTTACCATTTGCCGTATTTTCGTGGGTATGCAGGAATTGTGAAATTCAACCACAGAATACTGTCCGCCGTCTTCATTCTGTATGAGCATTAATAGTCATCAACCTGGAATCACAGCCCCCCCCCCTCCTCCTCTCTTCCACACTAGTGCATTTTCCATTTGGAAAGAAAGCCAGCTGAGAGTTGGTAACAGAACCGCACGCATTATGGGATGCTTTCACCGACGTGAGGGCCGCAGAGGAGCTGTATTAATATTGCACTGAAGACTGGATGGAGTGAGAGAGAGTGTTCCTGTACGTGTGAGAGGGGGGGAATCATGGGCCTCAATGACAGCTGCTGACAGCAGGGAGGACAAAGACACACACACACACACACACACACACACACACACACACACCTTCTGGGTGCGTGGATAGTTGGCTCGAGGTGACCACCGGAGCGATTCTCGTCACTTCCATCAGACCCTCAGGTGCCTCAGACAGGCCTCAAGAAGCCCGGCCGCTTCTGCTTAAAAATTCTGCCTTGGACATCGTGATCCTCACCTTTCTATTTGCGCCGCGTGGCACACGCCGCTCCGCCGCCCCACACGCTGTCCCCCACTCATCTCCTGCGCCTTCCTCTTCAAATGTTTTCTCTGCTCCTCGCTACGTCGCTTCCTCGGTCCTTCCCTCTCCGTCTGCCTCTCTAGTGAGCTCTTCAACCTCCAGTATTTGTGTACAGCTACTCTGCCATTCTCTCTCTTTTACTTCCCGTTATCTCGGCTGCCTTCCTGATTCTAGCGCCCCCCCACACACTTATTCCTGCCACTGTTTCTTGATAGTGTCTCCTTGACTCGTGTGTGTCCATTGGATTTAAATGACAAATGAAAAGGGAGAAAAATAAAAACACTTTCTAGAATCTGAGAGGGTAAGAGGGAGTACCTTGTGTCTCCTTCACCTTATTGTATATTGTATATACTCTCTGTCGTCACTACCCAGGGGGCAGCGCGGCTTGGCGCAAAGTTGACACACCCACACCAGCAGCGATGGGTCGGACCTCGGCACAACGCCAAAAACGGCGACACGGCTGCTCAACATGCAACCCGCACCACCGAGTGGCCCGCGGACCCCGCTAGGGGCTCACACGAGGCCTGACAAGCTGGAAGCCCCGCAGGGCGAGGAGGGGGGACGCCAGCTCGCAGCGAGGAGGGGCTGTGATTGCCGGAGTTCACTCGGGGGGGGGGGATGCCTACGGGGGGGACTCCCGCCAGCGGGGAGAGACAGATGGGCGAGCATCAACCGACTGGACTGCGTCTTCGCTCGCTCCCGGAGCCCCGCCTCCACCCCGGCATCACCCCCGTAGGCTCCGAGGGGAGGAGTTACCCTCGTCACCCTCGGCTCCTCTGCGGTGACAGAGACCAGGTCGTCCACCCTGCACACATTCCACATTCACATGTATTTATTCCCCGGGGGGGGGGCTTACCGTCGTGGTTGGGGTTGCCCAGCGTCCACGGTTCGTCCGAGTCAAAGTGCGTGTCGCCTCCTATTCCCGGCCCCGGGAAGTAGGCGTGGGCGAGGAAGCCGCCCTCGCCGTCGAAGGGCGAGCTGTCGCCGTGGAAACCCGAGGCAAAGATGATGGTGATGTCCACGTCTTTCTTGGTCCGCTCCAGCTCGCTGTAGGGCACCGCCTCGAAGCGCAGCGGCGTCACATTCTGCCAGACGTCGAAGGCCCGCCGGATGGCGTCGTGGGTCTCCTCCGCGCCCACTTTGGGCGTCACGTTCTTTATGCTGCAGGGACGCAGGGGAAAAAAAAAAAAACGGGTGCGTCAACCACACTTCATACAGCATCAACCGAGGTTGTCAGAGCCTCGAGGAAAACAAGCCCACACGCAGAGGAGTGACTGGGACCAACGGCTGAAAAATAAACACCACAGAGTCTCAATCTACACAATCAGCTTAGAAGAAATAAAGACCCCCCCCCCCGATCCATCCCGGGCGCCATGTACCGAGCATGTTGATATCAAACGGGGAGCTAAATGAAGCGATTAGAGAGGGAGAAACAGCGGCGTCCTCCCCCGCCAGCTTTGCGTTGCCGCAGATGTGGAGAACGACGGAACGCTTCCCTGCCAGTGGAATTTATTTTCTAATTTAGGATTATGAACAGCCCGGCCGAGAGCCACGCTCTGGTTCGACCGTACTTCCAAACCTGAATCCATTTTTTTTTCTCGCTGAGAAAGTAAACAGCCCACACCTTCTCACACACACACACACACACACACACACACACTCTTTAACCAGTCGTCTTTAGAGTTTCTGTTTCCTCCGCTCTTTTGTTGACTTTTTTCAATCCATTTTTTTGTAATTATGGGACTAAATGATATCAGAATGACTTTTGCTCATCTTCTTTAGTGGATAGACTGCTGTGAGGCACAGTTACATACTGCATATTAATATTGTATGTGAGCGCAGATTAATTATTGAATGAGACTCTGTGAAAAGGGAAGCATACAGGCTTGTTATGAAATAAAAATAGATGGTCACAGAATAGCCGACGGTTTGATTTAAAATGTTGTAATTGCTTATAGCAAATTATAGACTCTTTTTCAAGACAGATTTGCTGACAGCAGATCATCACTTCAGCAAAGATCTGTTTGCTTTAAATAATCTCTCAAAAGGTACCTTTGTTCAATCAATTTCTGGTTCGACCGACAAAATGAAATTATGGGGAATTGTGAGGAACTTGACATATTATCGCCTCATAGTTGATTGGCCTTTCATGTTGGCAAACAGTGATTCATGAACACATTCTCTTACTCACGTTTGTGTCCAGCTGAGGAAATAAGTACTAATACTACTTACTCATCTTGTAGCTATTGTTTCGGTCTCCATCGACTAGCTGCTATCTGCCGTTTGTATAATAAGTTTCAAGAATCCTTTTTCTAAAAACATCTTTCTGCTGTGGGGGACAAAACCCCAGTGATGATGTGGGAGTGAATCCAAACAGGAACGAGAGCAACAAAACGAGAGAAAGAGTCTCAACATTTGTCAGTACTCTGGAATTACAGAAAACCCAAAGTGAAGTGCCGTCAGCGCCCGGTAAGCGACCGGGCCTCAGCCTGATTGGGGCCCAATCACAGAGGGCGACACAGTAACGTCCATTTTGGCGGGGACTACAAAGATGGTTTCATCCGATTCTATTAGCCGGCACGCCGCGTGGTAAGGTTGACGCGACAACAACGGCACCTGCATGCAGAGGAGTGTCGGCGTGCCGGAGAGAGTGGCTCCCCCCAGCAACGGCGCTACGTGGAAAGTAGCACGCGCCTGGTGGCCGTGGTTGGTTGTACTTGTACTAGATGCCAAAGATGCCTTAGAAGACAAAACAACTAATAGTTTTGAAAGGCTCAGCATGTCGTTTGAAGGATGGGGACTCAAACTGTCGTTTGAAAAGGGTCTTTTGAGGAAAGAAAGAGCGACTTCAGTCAAAAGACCTCAAGCTGGATTCAAACCCACAACACGGCAGAAGATGACAGATTCTATTATGAACATGTGACAGACAGAAACGGGCGCATTGTGTTCCACGTCCAACACATTCCACTTTATTTGTTGCGTCATCCAGTGAACACGGTTTGCATCCAGTGACATGTCTGATTGTCTCACTGTTCGTGTTTTTTATTTGCAGCGATGTCACCGTTTTAACCGCTTCATTGGTGAGTACAACAAAAAGAAAACATTTTGATTCTAAACGGTAAAGGTGAATATGGACATGTGACCCATGCACCCGTCACCGGGTCACCGTTCATGGATGTTTTCAGCAGACATAAAAATGTGCTGCCTGCATCCTCTTGACTTTCCCCCCTTTCACCAATTGGAGTTGAAATGAGCAGCTGCAGGCACATCCGCCTTCGGACCGGCGCCCAGATCCACGTGCAACACACACTCACACGCTCTCTCAAAAAGCTCCCATCCGACTGCATAACCCTAATCTGTCAGAGAGCAACCTCTGCTTTCCACTGGGGTTTCCTCCTCTCCTCTCAGCCCATCTCTTTCTCCATGCAGCTGCTTCTCCTCCAAAGCCCCTCACCTCCTCCCCCCCAGCTCACTTTCCTTCCTTCCCTCCTCAAATGCGCTCCTCCACTTTTCATCAAGCCGGCTTATTTTTCTCCTTTTCAAAGATTGGTGCTGTTGCAGAGGAGCCAGCGCAGGCATGAATCCGCGCTGCTATGCAGCCCTTCCTACAGCTGTAGGTTGCTGATGCACAAGATTATATTTAGCATTTGTAATACTGCTTATACATTTATTCTCAGGACAGAGTAAAAAAAAAACAAGCCCACTCCTTAGGGATTATCCCATAAAACACGGGCCTTGGGGCAAGCACCGGCATGTATAATGTTACATAAATATCATATATCAATAATAATATATGTAAAATATTACAGAATCTGGGCCACACTGAGTCAACGAGGAAATATGATTAGACACGTGGTCCTATGCATTATTACTAGTGGTGTTACGGAGCACACGTCGATCCGGAGCGGTTTGCATGACTTTGTGGCGCACTGTATCGATACTAAAAAAGGTACTATGGGATCTTCTCTAGTTCTAGTTTATTCTAGATACGAATAAACGCTGCCCAGGTATTGCATCATGGATATCGGGTATCTTGATATTCGTGGCAGGTATTGTATCGAAGTCATGATTTTGGTGTTGTGACAACCCAACCCTGAATATCAATTTAAAGTGTCAGTAAACAGAAAAGCGATAGTGTGTCAGAGGTATTTAACGGTGAAGGTCATGGCGAGCGGAGGAGCTTGAGAGGCCACCGGTATCTTATAAGTCGCAAATGTCGGGATCATTTTGGCTTCCCTGTAAATTATTTGACAGGGAAAGTAAACTTTTCTTTGCTGATCCGATAAATGATCCGAACCGCAATGTGAGGCTGTTGATTCGTTGCACGCCTAATTATTACTCATGTTAGAATTGAGATGAGACCTCTGGTGCATGAATGGCTCTTGCATGCACATTCTTTTTCCATTTGTGTCACATGTTCAGAAGATAAAGCTGCTTCTTGTCCAGTCCCAGCTCTTAAGAACATGCTCTGTTGTAGAATGCAATGGTTACAGTTTGGTTTCTGTCCATTATATTAATCCAAAAGTTGTGCTCAGCAGTTGCTCCTTTGCTCCGCGAGAGGAAATAGGGAAATGTTTAAGCACAAAAACCCAAAGACCTCAACAGTCAAGGGTTTTACTGATATTTTACAGTTTTGAAAATGCGCTACCATTACTTAAAGATTAAAAGCAGGATATATATATATTTTTTTATTAAAGAAGCAAGGGCTGCATAAAAGGAAAATATGACGTGCAGTTTCTTTCTCTTTCTCTCTCAAAGGGACGTCCAATTTAACGAAAAGGTCAACGACACGGTTAAGTCACAAAGCCCCCGTTTGCCAGCTTTTGGGGCCAGAGGCACACACTGGGTTAATCTCGCTAGCCGGACGTCTTCGCTACTGGACAGAGGCCCCGTTGACGGGTCCAATCAGCGGGGGCGGGACTGTCTGTGCATGTCGGGGTGGTCACGGGGTGATCCTGAAGCTGCTGATAAAACGGCACCGTTTCAAAGCACCCACCTGTATGTGATATGTTTGTGTTGCCACTTCTGTCCGGTGAGGGCGTACCGCCGTTTCCTGACACTGAATCTGGACGCGCCTCCCACCTGGTCGGGAACCCCGCATCTCGGCTTCTTCATCCACCTGGAGAGAAGGAAAAAAGAAATGAGACGGGATGCAGACATGGCCAGAAGGAGACTTCCTCTGCAGAATGCACGACACACACACACACACACACACACACACACGTGCCATTCCTGGTGATTCTCCGTGCTGTACAAATTACACTTATGACACATGAGCCGCCCTCACCTTATCGTGTTATCGCTGCTTTGACAACGAGAAGCAGAAGGAGAAAGAGAGACACAGGCACACCGTTAGCTCATCACATTGCACTTCAGCCCAGCTGTTGACCAGCTGTTAGTCGGCATCCACACTGCTGGCCACCACATCGGCACGTTACAGTTCACCGGCCAATTTGGGCTGATTGCTATTTGAGGCACGGATGGCCTTTCGGTGTTGCTGGGGACAGATGTCAGTGAACACGGTTTGTATTTCTTGTGTGTGGTTTGCAGGTAAAAAAGGTTCAGGGGTTAAAACTGGGTACAAGCAAGAGCATGTTGCTGCATGCCGTACATCCTCTGTTCTCTAACACCCTCACGTAACTGATGTGACTCTCATTCCTGCAGTGGATTTCCTCCTGGATGCACATCATGGAAGTTCAGAGACTCTTCTCGTCTCGGTTGTTCCTACAAAGTGAGGTCTTCCTCCTCTAAACCAACCGATCGCTGTCCCTGCCCTTTCCCCTTTCTCCCGCCGAGTATCAGCGCTTTGCCATTTCACAGCCTTTGATCTGACAAAAGAGGCGCGCTCTCTGTGAAAGGCTGCTTTGATCAATTTAAGACGCCCCACTTGATCCATGTACGGCGAAGGTAGTGTCTCGGCGAAACCACTCTAGTTGCCTTCATAAGACAAAACGGGATGAACGAGAGACCCCTCCACCGTTTGTCCTCTGTTTTGTGGACGTCTCCGTGAGTTTCGGCGATCGTTGTTGGTTTGCTGCACGTTTTACCTCACACTCTTCAGTCCTCTTGTAAAAGATCCATTTACGTTACAGCAACGTGACATTTCTCAGCTTGTAGTGTAAAATGAAAGACGATTTGACATCACTATTGCTATTTCAATAGTTAATCACACTCAGGAAACAGAGAATTTTTACTCGCCAGTCATTTGTTTGTACAATGACCATTTACAGAAGTGAATTAAACACAGTGCGCCTCATCGCGAGTAACACCTCAGAACCCAAAGTCCCACGTGGTAAGACTCACCCCATAGTGCTGCTATCCAGGGAGCCGGTGACGTTGAGGCCGTAGCGGCGCTGCATGGCAGCGATAGCCGACTGCATGACTCGAGTCGAACGCAGCACCGACATTCGGGGGTCCGCAGGGGGGAGGTAGCCGTACCTCTGGAGCCATGACTGCACACAACAGAGAGAGGGAAGGGGGAGTCATTTCACATTGAAGGGTTTCCAGGTGTAAGTAAAAAAAAGGAAATCATTGCAGACGAATGGTGAAGGGAATTGCCGTATTCCCCGTTCGATATGACCTGGAATTCCATTTAAATAGCATCAAAATAGAAGTTGAGATGAGTGCTATAGAGGCACAAGAAAGAAAAAGATCCAAAGACATTCAGCCTATGCGAGTTTATGGAGCAAAATGTAATTTGTTATGGTGTCGTTTGGCTTGTCGGCGACGGACTTTGGTGTGATGGAGCTCTCAGTGTCTCTATAAAGCCCTGCTAGAGGGAATCAGCGCTCAGATCTCTGGAGCAAGGAGAAGACGAGGGGTCGGCTGGGCTCTCCACTCGAGAGGCTTTAGGGATTTGGATAGTCCCTGTATTCTCTCAGCCTTCACCACAGAGCCGACCGGCCAATGAAAAACAATAGAGAACAAACACAAACAATGGTTTTGTGCCCAGAGAACACTAAAAAGAAATGTCCCGCACAACGTCGCTGGGCCGCTCACGTTTCTGTGGATGCTACAGAAGAAGTGCAGAGAGCGGGGGAGGGGAACGCAGTAAAAAGGGTCTTCAGCGAGGTGTGGCGCTTAGCTTAGCACAAGGTCTGGAAGCTGGGGGAAGAAATAAATAAATCTTGGAAAGGTTAAATAAAAGAAAAATATTGGCCTTATGCAAAAATCATATTCACTTCATATCTCGTTTGTTTAATCTGGATGAAAACCAGAGTGGCCGACTTCTACTTGGCTCGCTTCTTCTGCTCATTTATTCGTGCCAGAAGCCTTGAATGGTCTCAGGAAGTTTAATGACAACTCTTATAAATATCGGGAGTAAACATTCATAGCTTCCTATTAAGATCCTGGAAAGGAACGAGCATAACAACTGTGAATTAATTAAAAAGCGTCCTCTTCTTCTCAGCCGCAGCGGATCAGGAGATCATACGCAAATCTCAGGCTCGTTTCAACTGAAAGAATACCTGCATCTTATACCAAATGCCCCGGGATACTTCTATGGAAATGATAAGGGGAATTAAGAGCTTGGTGAAGATAACCCAAAAACCCACCGTCTTACATGTACCAGGATACAGGATGCACCAGGACACAAAAATAGCCTTTTATGTTTGCATTTAAGGGGATAAGGCGAGAGGAAGCGGCTTCGCCTTTGTAGCTGTGATTGGCACACGGACAAATCCACGATCTCTCTGCCTCCCTACTTCCTGTCCCCGGAGGCCTGTAGGTGGGCACGTGCTGTCAAAATGTTGTGTCACGGCTCGCACTGCTTGGCGCCTCGCTCACCTTCCCTCTGCCTTTTTCCCCCTCCTTCACCTGCTTTAGTTCTTCAGCTTTCCCTGCTTTCCCATCTTACTTTTAATCCTTCAAATCGTGTTTTAACTTTACAAAAGCGGAGACTTCCCACTAGACCTCAAGAAGCATTTAGATTACATATTCTTTATAGGCCTGTAACAAACGCTTCATTCATTCAAATCTTCCAGTCTGAATGCGGGGGGAGAAGCGTTGTTCAGCGTGATGGAGAGACATGGAGGGGGGAGCGGTCTTCTTATACAGAACAGTATTTTAAATGCGCGGTGGCAAACAGGGGGGGCTGAGTTAAGGTCACCAACCTTAAAAACCGTGGTGAACCCCCTCCCCCCCCCCTAAAAAACAAAAGTGAAACTGACGCCCCCCAGAGTGGCTCATTCTACAAGCAGACCAGCGCAACAAAGAGGGAGACAGAGAGAGGAAAATACACGCTGCAAAACAAAAGCAAATGGTAAAAAACTCTTTTTGCACTGTTTCCAACTTCAATTGCAAGTAGTAGTATGTTTACAAAATGTAATAAAACTTTTAAGTGAAAAAGTTAAGTGATAAGTACTTATTTTATTATATCTTCAGGCAATTAATTCAGGAACAACCCTATTTTTTTATTTCTGTTGGGTAGTGGGGGGGTTGGGGGTCTCATAATGTCCCTGTATCCTTAAAGGGGGCATTAACAGACACGGTTTGGGAACCACTGTACTAAAGCTTCTAGAATGAACACAGTGATACACAAAGGATGCTTCTATGCAAGTTTATAAACATCCTGAAAACAAATATCCTGTAATACAACGAGTAGCCAGTTATTAGTGTACCTGTCACATCTTACATGCGAGGCTTGGCCGAAGAGACCTGAGTGGCATCGGGGTGACATCACCGCTGCTCTCTCAGACGTCCCCTTTCATTTTGCCTCTTCGCAATTCTTTCACACGCTCGCGCCCCCTCCTGGGTTCACCGCTCGCGTTAGAAAGCCTTCAGCTTCCGCGGCCCGACCGACACGCGAGCCGCACCTCCACAATCATAACCCACGAGCCTCAGGGAGAGACGGGAGCTCAGAAGATATTAATACTGCACCAACTTTCAAAGACGGAATCGAAGCCTTTGATTCCATCATCGTGCCGAAGGTTGAGGACTGTGTCTCGACTGGCAGGGTGTCGGTGTTTCGTGAGATCTTTTCAGAAGATACAGGAGGGACTATATTACAGAAAATATGGGCGAATCGCTAAAGAAACAACACAGCAGTTATGTACTACTTAAAGCGGATCACTTCTTCCTGGACAGTCTGGTCAGTCATCGCAACCCGTTTTCGTTCTCCCTCCTCCCCCCATGCTGCCCTCGTCTCCTCTCTCACTGATCCGCCCTTTGTCTTCATCATCTATGCTCGCCCGTGTTTGAGGATCCCGGAGAAGTTCTGCATCTGGTGCTGCACACCGTGCGGCCCGTTTAGGGAGTCGACTCCCACCCAATGGGAGCTCTCTCTCTCTTCCTGCAAGGGAAGCTGAGCTATAAGAAGCATCTACGGTGTTTATTGACAAGTTGGAGGTACAGATGAGAAACACGAGCAAAGATTGTGGTCGTGGTCTAAAAGCTCCTTCTTGATTATTTTTTCAAATAATCGAGGGAAAACTTTTTTTTGGGGGGGGGGGTCTGTTTGATCCGCTCACCCCCAGCTCTCGCCCAGATCATGAACTGTCATCCGACCGGCCGAATGGGAGCGCGGAGCGCGTCAAACAAAAAATAAGCCCTCTCGTGTGTAATGTGATAATTATGCCGTTAGGAACACAGCCAGTCTCCCGGAAAGAGCGGAGCGGCGTAATGAGGCTAAAGACTTCTGCAGAAATCGAGGGCCTCCTTCAAGTGCAGAGAGATAAGGCGTCCGGCAGCGTGGCCTGATGAAGGCTAACATGTCTGAAACGCACCGCTGCCTATTCTCGGGGGTTGGCCACACTTGAATTTGCCTCCACTTTGAAGTGCATTTCTCTCCCGCCTCTAATGGCGGAGGAGCCCAGCCCGACCTCGCTTTCTCCTCACGCCGCCGCCTTCCACTTCCACCGTTGTCACACGGCTTGCGGCCTCTCATAACTTCCCTAGGAAGAAAAAGCCGCGGTTATGCAACCACACGTATAGAAAAGCGCAGTGCTCTATAGGACTCGGTGACGGAGAGAACAACAACAAAGTCGTCTCAGGTAAACTCCAGACGAGACGGCCCGGACGCGTGGAGGTGAGCCGAGGTGAACGCGGAGCGCTCGCCTCCCCCGGAACCACTGTGAAACCAGCAGGCGGGGGCCAATTAGTCGATGGGTTTTTTTCTACCTGAGAGACGGCGGAATCAAATCTATTATGGATGAGACTTGCCCGTGTCGGCATGGCGACGCGCGGGTGGCGTGCGGCAGTTTGTCGGCGGATCAGCTGACAGGAGCTGGCGTGGTGCGCGTGAGTTGGCAGCGCAGCTTCAGTTCGACTTTTGACATTTAAAAAACGGATGACGTGACGCCAGACAGAATGGGGAAGTTGGTTTAAGGGTTTTCATTAAAAAAATAAAGTGTGGGAACGGGCTCCGCTCTCCGTGTCTTTTCATCACTTCCAATGGAAGTTCATCGGTCAACTCCTTCATGTACTTTCCCGGAGTCCTGCGATACGCGGTGGAAATATTGGAGGTAATTATGCTCAGCCTGCTCTGTGAAATCAAAGAATTATGCCTCCGCTCGGAACCGGTTTGTCGCGGCCCCTCGATGGGCTCCTCGAGAGCAGAGTGCGTTTACAAGCCCGAGGAGATGCAAACATTCAAACGGCGTCGCTCACCTTGAGCGCACACACACACATTTATATACTCGTGGTGTTTGTGCACATACAGCACGCACAAGTGCTCTCATCATGCATCTGGCTTTACTTTCCTAACGCTCATATAACCATCTTTAAAACACCGTATAGCGCCTAATGGAAGAATGAGCGCCCGTTATTTGTGACCTTGTTCTCGAAACGCATGCTTTCATAATTCAGGACGATATAAGTGGGAATGGTAACTCCACGCTCCAGGATAATGTTTCTCATTAAATGAGCCGAGCGTGAGCCGCGTGTCACCTGCTACGGCTTCTCAGACATCACCTGAAGGAACAGGTGAAGGGTTCGCAGCACAGAAGTAGAGCCTTAAAGTATCCAGAACTTCCTCTGCTGCGGCCCAGTTGCTGTCAGTGCACTTGTCCTCTTTTTTCAGGGTTCACGGTGCACAAAATGATCTTTTGACTCCTGAGACAAAAGCTATAATATATGTCCAGTCCAGCGTGGACGGTGCCGCTGGGACTGACCGGAGCTCCCGGCGCAGGTGACCCGTGGGAACACCACGCCGTCCTCTAGGGGGAAGCCCGCCGCCTCCGAGCCGGCCTGAATTAATTCATCGGCTTGCACGCAGAACCGCCGCGAGTGCGCCTGGGTCGTCACGGCAACCGCGCCGGCCCTGCTGCCCACACCGCTAACCACAAACCCACACACAAAATCTCACTGCCGTGGTTGGGTTCATGGTGTGGAACGTGCATCTGCAAGAGACTCAACGTGACTCTTAAGGGCGCCATCATCTGCACCGCATGACCCCCGCACCGAGCAATGGGATGGTTGCCGACACACGCAAATAAACATGCACGCCCTCCGAAAATACTTAATGCACGCCATGTGCACGGTCTCCATGGCCCCATTAGGACAAAATGTCACTAAAATGTCACCCTGAAATGTCACGGCCCGATCATACATACTGATCACAGCGGAGCCTTTTTGCAGCGGATCGTCTTCTGGACGTTTTTTTCCCCCGAAGCATTTTGATGACTTAAGATGTGGCAAAACGACGGGCCACGGCCGGATTGCGACATGTGACACCGGCTGATGTCCTATCAGTGGAAAGATCATGAATCAACCTTTCGTGTTCCAACGTCTGCTAATTGGCGGGAGGAACCGTAACGTGCGCGTTCAAAACCCGCTGCAGCGAGATGACGTCACTGCACGCGGGAACAGACTGTTGTCACAGACTTGCATCATTGTGCACCGCAAAGAAATACCCCCACAGAGCCCCGCCTCCCCCCCCGGGCGCCTCCGTCATTGTCCTCATTGACAGCCTCACATGTGATGCCCCGGCGGCACCGTCCGACGCTGCAGTTGTCAGTCGCATTCAAAATCCACCAGCTCAGTAAGCTGTGACCAAAGATACGTCTCAGCGAGAGGAAACATCAACAACAACAACAACAACAAGTGGCTTCTGAGGGAAACCTGCCGCGTGTGTGTGGCATTCTGAATAATTTAGGTCAGTGCAGGTGTTGACTCAGACACCCCAGAGTGTGTGTTTGGCTACCCGCGATCCATAAGAAGAGCGAATGCGCTGATAAATCGCTCGGCGTGCCCTCGGACACGGTAAGGTAAGCACATACATACGAAGCGCAGTGGAAGTAGGAGGAGGACCTGGCGGCCGAGAAGCCGCAGCCACAATTCAACATCTATTTTGTTATCGAGCAAAGAACGGGGACGCGCGGCGCTGAACACCACAAAGCCAGTGACTGATTAGTAAATGAGACAGTTCTGATTGTTTTCAGATGAATCCATACTAAGCTGTTCAAAAGGGGAAAAATTAAATCCCTCAGCTATTTTCTTTGGTCTGGTCATCAACAGTAGTGTGAGAGCTTTGACGCCATTGCACCACACACACACACACACGCACACGCACAAATCCACAGGAGTGAGAGCAGCCACATCATTTAACACACACATTCAAATTCAACCCAGTTGCTCTCCATTATTGACACTGCCGACTGGTAACACAAGCGGCCCCCCCCCCCCCCGCCGCCCCCCTCCTCCCCCATAGTGACAACAGCACTAAGCAGCTCGCATTGGACCCGACTTTGTATCTGCCAAGTGCTGAAAAGAGATACAGCACTTAGGACGTCGATGGGACGAGGCTGGTCATCGGGATCTAAAACAAGATCATAACAAGACCAAGAGGGGTTTATTAATGCCGCTACGCAGGATATCACGATATGATCGTGTAATATACTGTGACAAACGATCATTAAATGGACGGGAAGCCTTTTCCTCACATCAAACCATTTCATCCAACCTTGTTATAATCAATGACATCATATCACAATACAGTTCCACCCGAAGGAGATGTACCATAACATTGGATGACACGCAGACACTTACTCTTATTTATTGTTTGTAATAATACGTTTGTGGTTGCGTACACTTCTCACGCCCACGGCTGCAAACGAATAACTGGATCGTGTCGTTTCAGAACCAAAATCCAATCCCATTTATTCTATCCGCCACATTTGACATCCGGAAAAATTTGCCGCAAATTATTATAACCGACAGTCGGCGGAGTTACGCCAAGGCGGCTCTTATGAACTGATGCATCCGTCTGAGACGGGGATGTTGACAGAGCAACGCTGCACTGCCTTTGTTGTACAGCAGAACATCCCAAAGTGAGAAAACGCCGCTCCGTCGCTTTTGACGCGACACCCGAGTCCTCTTCGTGAAGCGTCAGTTTGAACTTCAACCGAGGCCACGCGGCGCCCACCGGGCTTCCGGTGCTCCAATCCAGGGAGGGATTTATGTAGCCGGAAGAACGAAAAATCAACATTCACCTTCAGGGTGAAATGGACCCGACGCAGAAGCAGCATCATCGTCCCGCCCGGCCTTTAAACCCGCTGGATGTGACGCCGTAGCTGAGAGTGAAAAGCCTTGAAGCGGCAGAAAGTGTTCAGAACCCTCGCTTTAGGCAGAAAGGCGGGGGCGGGGGGGGGGGAGGGGTGTTATTCAAAATGTGCAACGCACGGTAAAAAAAAAAAAAAAAAAGAGATTAAAAATCCATTATCTCGCTTTTAATTACTCGGGTTATGTAAAAGTGAACGACAAAAACAAACCAAGAAAGCTCGACTGCCGGCGAAGCCCACTTAATTGTGCGGCCCTGGAGAGAAGATCTTTTAAAGAGAAGGTGAGTGAGGCCATCTCTGGCGTTCCATGTAAATCCATCCGGTAACAGAATGTATAAGCCTACAAGGAGATGGGGGAAATGGGCTGTGCCGTTTTTAAATGACATTGTCTGGTTTGCAGAGAAAATGACTTCTTAGATTAAACAAAAAGATGAGGAGCTTTCGGGTATGGGGGGGGGGGGGTGCATTAGGGGGGCAGCAGTATTGGCAGATGTGTAGAGTTGAGCTGAAATGAGACGCTACAAGTTGGTATTAATTAAAGTTTTATCACCCAGTGTCAGGCTGTAAAATGTAATCCAGAGCAAAGAAAAATTGTAAGAAGGGAGCAAATTGGCAATTCACTAAACTCAGCCGTGAAGCCAAATCCGAGAAGTCAGCAATAAGCGGCCAGCGGTCTTCCAAAAGGTTTTCTTAAAAGGCCGCCGACTGACCGGCAATTACAGGATGGGCTTAAGGGACCCCCCCCCCTCACCCCCACCCGGCACCGAGAGGAAATGCTTCCTCCTTCCATCACCTGTGCTGAGTGCACACACAGAGACCCGTGAAGCCAATTTGACATAATGGCCAAAACCTCCCGTCCATCAAGGGGACTCCCATAGACATGCATCGGGAAAGGTAAAGGATATTACGACCGTGACCGAAAAACGCAGTTCACGTAAGTAACCGAGTGAGCATAACTCATTTATATTGCAACCTTGTTAATAAAGTAATACTTTGTATTGTATTGCACTTTGTTTATGCCGTCTGCATGACTCTGTGACAACACGAAGACGCGCTTCTTCCTTGATGACGTTTTCCGCAGAGGACAAGGAATAGAGGTTAGGAATAGACGTCAGGAGGTGCTTTGCCCCTGACACATTTTGGGCCTCGGCTCGGCCTCCCTTCAACTTCCTCTTTGTGTGGGCTTTTTGGATCCTAACGTACTCCAATTCCAGCCCCCCCGGAGTGCATTTTCATCTTCACCTGCTGGACATCCAGCTACTATCGTCCAGCTATGCTCAAAGTTTTGCTCAAAGGCACCTCAGACACTGTAGTTAACATGCTTATGCGAGGAGTTGTTAAATTAGGGGCCAATTATTACTTGTTAATTAACTACTGCATTATGGATAACAGGAGGCTGCCATTGACATGCATTCAGAACTCATCCAACCCGTTAAGATGTGTTTATTATTACACAATCTGCCGTTTAAAGGTGTAGTTATGGCAAAGCTTTAATCGCCCCTGCGTTTACTCAGGGTTACGCCACAAACTGACCTCTTTGAGGACAAGAAGCCGATATAGAATAGAAACCTTCAGAGTCCATTCAGATGACTAAGAAAGGTCAAGATGTCGGGGCAGGAGGACGACAACAACGCGCAAGCCGAGGCGCAAGGACGTAGGAGAAGGGAAGGTGGAGAGTTCAGGACTTGACATGAATCATAAAAACATGAAAACAACACTAACAACACGCCGTTGTGTCTCCCAGCCGAGAAGGAGGGTGGATGTTATTGGAAAGCTTGGGTTTTGACATCCGTTTGGCTCCGAGACAAAAGTTATTTTGGATTTTCTCAGGGACAATGGTCCACAAAGCTGAACCCCATAATCAGATTTAACAAGCGGAGTAAAAAGAAATAAACCTTTTCAGCATCCCTCCACCGTTTCTCTCCCCGGGGGTCACCGCGTTAACACTTCATTATAGGCCCACGGATCCGACATCGGCTAAACGACAGTGATTTGCTCTGGAAACACCAGGGGATGTAAAGTAGACCGAAGTGCCCTTCATAATAAAAAATAAAAAAAAAGCAAAACGTGTCTCTTCAAACCACAGGAAGGAGAGCTTGTGTTCGTACTGCTTTTTTCTAAAAAGAGAGAAAGGGACACAAAAGACACATTGAATCTGCTCAAGGCTGGTTGAGTGTTAAAGTTTATTGGCGTAACACTTGTGGCCTGAAGCCTTTCAACAATCCATTAAGTCGGGATACGAGATGAGAATGAAAGCGCCCTTTGAAAGGCGACCGTTCTCTCTCTCTCGCGCGCGCTCTGTTGGAATCTCCTCCAGCTGCCCACATTGTTGCCTGTGAACTCATGAGATCTCTTTCTGCAGAACTCGAGCCCCGGAGCATGTGCTGCTTTTGAAACGGCGAACGCTCTGAAGTGGAGCTTCTCGTGCACACAAACTTCTGCCCACGAAACGCCACTGAGGGAATATTTGCCCCTCGGACTTCTGTGGCAAGATCTTTGGGAGCCATTGACTTCCATTGGCATGCAACCATTACATGGAGATAACGGCATTAATAGTTGATTCATCTTTAAACTAATCTTAGCGGCCTTTGCGCTCCAATGGGAACACAATTATATTCCCATGAGATCAAACTCTCGCTTCTCAGCTCTCACTTTTGAGAGGACGAACAAGCCCAGATGTGGAAAATCATATTCAAACACACACACCAAAAAATAATAAATAACAATTCAAAAGTGTAGAAGAGGACTGGATGGAGCGCTCACAAAGACCGCGTTGTTTGGACCGTCCAACCGTCTTTACGTTAAAAAAAGGGAGCTTTCCTCCCTTTCACCTCCACCGCCTCCTCCACCAGGTGAGGGTCTTACCTCCACGCTGAACGGCTGCTCCTCGCCGTTCACCGCGCATAAAATCCACAGCAGCCACTGCAAGCACAGCGTCCCCACACAGCAGCTGCCCGGACACCTCCTGCTGCGGACAGCCGGGAAAAACATGCTGAGCCCCCGCGGCGGTCGCTTCTCGTCCCCGGTCACTTTTATTCACCGGTCGGTGCTAAAAACAAAACAACAACAAACAAAAAAAAAAGGCAACGGCGCGGATAAATCCTACGCGGCGAGCAGCGACATTGCCGGTGTGTCGCTGCTCCTTCTTGCGGCGCCGAGAGGAGGAGAAGAAGAGGGAAGAGAGGAGGGAAGAGGAGAGGACAGGCGGAGGAGAACCGAGGAGGAGAGGAGGAGAGGGGGGGGAAACGGGGAGAAGCGTCGGGTTCGTCGAGCGCTTCGCGTCGCTGCTTTGTTTGCTTGTTTTCCGTCGGCGGGAGGCGTCCCCCCGGGGAGAAGTCTCGCCTGTCAACGCCTGTCCCGGTTCTGAGGTCCCCGGGTCGGTCCTCCGGTGCACCGGCCGTTGTTCCAAGCGGACGCGTCCAGCCCGTTTTCCGCAGCGCGCGGCATAGCTGCCCGTTTTCAGTCGTGTTTTCCCACCGAGTGCGCATGCGCGCACTGCTACCAGCGCCCCCAGCTGCTCCCCGTCCACATAAAACGGGGGGTTTTGTTTGGAGAAGGTCTTTCCAGTTTAAGTGTCGCTGTTTTATCTGTCAGTGCATTACAAGTTACTTGTTCATGCAAACAGACACCAAGTGAACTTTAGAGAAAATAACCATTTGTTTCTATAAATCCCTTAAAGCACCATCGCTCATATAGGATAATATAATCCTCTATAAACTGTTTAATGTTTACATAGTAGTAAATTGGTGTGTTTAGCTTTTCATTAGATGGTTTTGATAAATGTCTTTTAATATTTTGAAAATGTTACATTTTTTATCCACTATTACAAAACTGCATGTTGTATCAGTGTATACTTCATCGCGCGCGCGTGTGTGTGTGTGTGTGCGAGCGCGCGTGTGTTTATTGTGTTCATTTAGAAAAGCCATCACGCCCACTGGAGGGCGATGATGCGCTCAATGCTTTTTTAATAACCACAAGCTCCGTAACCCAGAAGTCCTCTCTGTGTCTCAGCTTTGTTTCCACTAAGTGCTGATGATGCTGCAATGAACTGTCTTAAAAAAAAGAGGGTTGCGCAAGTGCTGTGGTCTTGTGAAATAACTATACTTTGACTTACGGCCCTCCAACAATCCACCAGCAAAACTAATGAAAAGGCCTTTTCTTCTAATCTCCCCGGATAATATAGAAGGGTCAAGTATAATGAGCCAGATCAATGATTTTCCACTTAGACGAACACCTTGGGATGAGGAACAAGTCAGTGTGTATATGTGTAGGGTTTAAATCTGAGCAGACACACACACACACACACCACCGTCGTCTGAGAAACCCCCAACGATCACACTAAATGGAAACCTATTTAAAGTTTAGAAAGTTGATTTTGACGATGTCTTTACGAACTTTAAATAGAGTTTTCCATTTAGTGAGGAGTACAACGGTTTGACCTCCTCATGACCCTCATGAGTCTTTGGGTTGCTAAGAGCCGTAACAAATCTACAAATGACCCAGTTTACACATGCAAATAACATGAATATCCAGCAATTGAAATTGCAGATCAATGTACAAGAAGATTTTTTTGTAATCCAAAGCTTTACATTTCTTCTCATCAAAATGAAATGCTTTAAAACTAAACGCCGCATTTACCAACCAATTTCCACCAATAACAGAGTGGTGCAGGGATGATGGATTTAATAGGTCAACCAAGAAGTTAGCTTCACAATGGTTCTCTGGACCAAAAGCCAATTACATTTTTTAATTTGATCCTCAATTTTTGCACAACCTTTACAAATGAGTAGGGTGATGCATAGCATGGAACATCCAATTTATTTTTCTTGAAAAATCATGAACATGACATTATTACACATTCTCCATCCTAAGCTTCATTTGGCTCGGTCAGCTATTGAGTGACAGCTAGAAAGCACGTCAAAATGTCCACCACAGCTTCAATGCGGAGCCTATTAAGTAACTGCTGTACGTAAATGGACGCGTAGCGACAGCGTGAGCCGACTCACCCTCAAAACAGGTGTTTCCTCCACACCAGTCCCTTAACACAACGTTCCACCACCTTATTAAAATCCAGGGTTCCGACCACATCGCTGTAGATGCAAGTACGTTACGTTCTTTGGAAATTCCACACATTAGTGTTTCCATTAGAGCAGTTTATGGCACAAAGACCACTTAAACTCTCTGTCTTTCTCATTCGTTTTCTTTACCCTCTCTCACGATGCCGCAGGGAAACCAGTCTATTAGCACTGAGCTACGGAGTTAGCGGTTTCCACCAAGTTGACACATTTTCTCTATGACCGAAAGCTCCTGTGTTCTCCTTTAACACGAGCAGAGATGGTGGGTAATTAGCACTGCATTGGGTTGAATATCCGCCGCAGAATAAACTGCACGGGCAGGGCTGAAAGGAGGAAGCAGTATAGTGACACAGGCGTTTTGTCTTTTACCCTCATCCCTTGGATTTCATTCATTTCAGCACACTTAGAAGATTACAACAATTTGGCCGGCGAGGAAGTTTGACTTCCTTGCTTTCTTTTCCTTGTGCTCATTTGAAATGTGTCGGCTGGTTAAATCGTCCTTTTCTCACCGTCTCTCTCTCCTCCTCTCCTCAATGATTTCCTCTCTCACTTGATAATGCTGAATACCCTTTCTGAAAGGTTCTGGCCCTTTCCAACTGTCCCTCCCACCAGCGCAGAAGCTTTGCCAGGATCCTCAAAGCCTGCCTTTCCAAACACGACTCTGTCTCAGAACGGCTGCATCTGCTCCCAGTCAGACCTCCTGGATCTCCTGGCAGCATGAATCCAAATCCTCCCGTCTGTCTCCCTTTCTATAGAGCGGAGGAATTAAATAAATAGTGTGAAGGGCACTAACGCACTCAGTTTCCCCTCAAGGTATCGTCAAACCCATGGCGCGTTTGTTCTAGGAATTAGAAATCCCTGCTTCTGCAACGTTCTCCTGCAGTACAATTTAAAATACCTCAAATTTATGGACAAAGGGAAATTGGCAGCATACAATTCCCTCGTTTGTTTAAGGGGGGAAACTTGTGTCCAACCCAGACTTCACAGCATGTTCAACTCCTAATTTGCTTCCTGGGCTTGGGAGCGATCGAGATCAGATGCCGTTCTCTGTCCACACGGAGCTTCGGGTCGGTCAGGCGGCACAGCGAGAAGCCGCCGCTTCTCAACAAGGTTTCGTATTGATACCTGTGTTATCGTACGGCCAACTACTCCGGGAAGAAATAACTGCTCTCTTCCAACAAGAACCTTTTACACAGTTGGACTCTTTTACTTGGATCGGAACCCAAAATCATTTCAGGGTGCTTTCACTCTCACAGAGGTGCTTTCTTTCACATGGAAATTCTTCCCTCCTCTCACTACTTTGCGGTTGTCAGCATTACTTTATGTCTATTTGGTGACATTTAGCTCCCTTTGGAATTCAGGTGAACGCTTTTGCCAAATTTTGAAGCAATCATCAAAAAAAACTTGACGAAAAATGCGACGGACTTGACAGCACAGTGACCTCAACCTTTGACCTCCAAAATCCGTTCAGTTCATCCTCGAGTCCAGGCGCGTTTTCTCGTTGGGAATGTACCAAACGGGCCGCCAACACATGCACACAATGCCTACAGCCTTTTAAAGCTGTGGCCTGCACAGAGACAAGAAACATCCAACTATGGTTTGCATTCTTACATATGAAGTCATCGAACCAACCCGACTCTGCACTGATCTAGAAAACAAACTGCAGTTCTGCGATTTCCAACCAGGCTGTTCTCAAATCTTGTTCTCTGGCTCGTACGGCAGCGATGTCATTTCGAGGTTTAAAATAAGGCTGGTCGCTATCAAACCAGCCATGATGGACACGTGGCTCCAAAATGAAACTTTGGACACACAGACATACAGACAAACAGCAGAAATGGGTCAACTCGGTGTAAAAATAACTTGATTAGAGTCCCGCATGTTGCCGGCGCTGAGAACAGATTGGTTATTTACATAATAAGCTTAGTCATGCAGTCAGTTTCACACAAGGAAGAAACCAGATTCCAATGCATCGGGTGCCCTGTTAGAGTAAAATGTGGATAACAAGTGTGCGCGGCGGCCTTCACACACACTTGTATGGACGGCAGAAGCACAACGTAATGTAGCCGGATCAGAAAGGAGACAGTTGTCAGCTGATTTGGCAGTAGGTCAGTTCCAGATGCAAGTCAGTGGGTTCTTTTACGCTCTTAGTCCTTCCGGTCTCTTTTGCTGATGAAAGCAGAATAAATTAGGTTTGTTTTAGGTTCAATTATGTATTTGTTCAAGTTGCACTCACCAATGTAAGCGGGTGTGCGTCTTGAGCATTCTCGACCTTTCAATTTTTAAAGGATAATGTCAAATACTTCTCAGTTTGGTCAAGTGGCACAATGGACCAGCTGCTGTGGATAATTAAATAGAGATCAATCTCTTTTTTTTAGACCCAAATGGTCAAAATGTCCCCAATTAAATGCAAATTTGAAAGAAACCTATAACTTGGTTTTGGAAAGAACATATTTGCGGTTAAAACAAGAGAGAAACTTCACGTTGCTGTAGTAGGCCTTGTGTTCCGGAGGACACATTACTTTGTACAAATCCTATGGGGATACTGGGCCAATTCATGGAACACTTTCTTTCAGAAGTGTGAGTGATAAACTTTAGAAGACGCTTACTCTTACTTAATCAATGCACTTATATTCGTGCTACTAGTACATATAAATAGACGCTTATCCATCAAATTTCTATCCACGTAGATTGAGAGTATCAACTGAAGCTACATTATTATACTGACTTTATCTCCCAGACGACCACTGCAAAATCACAAAATGCTTGAGCGGTACCTCCCTGTAGATCTGATAAGACTAGAAACCGTAATCTTCAAAGTCAGCGCATGGAAACTAATTCAATATACACACACGCACACACACAAACAGACATGGCTTTGGGGATATTTCCCCCTGTGATTGGTTGCGGTTACAGCGGCTCTCTCTAACCCCGAGTCTCTGCTCGGCACTGGAAACGTTTCCACCCTTCCTGCACGGGGTAAACATTCGTACCATGAAACCGCCCGCTGGTCAAAAACCTGAAACTGATCCGCACCGCAAAATCGGAAGTAGGTCGATTTGCGCTCTTGGCAAACTCTGTCTCTCTCAGAATCCCTCTCGCCTGTTCTCTCCGGCTCAGTGTGGCCAACGGTTCTCTTTTCAAACTCGTGCTTGTGGGAATAAGGCAGACTGATGCCATAACAGAGCTGTTAATAACTGCAGTGGGAGAAACTTGGATGGGAAGCACAAGACTAAAGAAGGCGATGGCCCTTACAATCTCCTGCACTTCATGACAAGGCATACAATATGCGTATATATATAAATATAAATATATATAGTTATAGATAGGTATATGGTTTATGTGGCGACACAGTCTATCTTTCACGGGGAGAGATATTTTCTTCTGAAATAATAGATTTACTGAAGGCTTGAA